AGCTAAAATCCTTTTCTTTATTTATAAAAGTGTCGACAATTGGTGCGAATGTACCTCTGCAATAATCTGACTTCTCATAAGCAAAGAATTTCCTATCTGTTCATACACAGGACAGGTCAGTCCAGGTTTCCATGGCGATCCGCAATTTTTTGAAAAACTATAATCACAGAAAGGGACATAAAGCACTAGCCTGCCTGTGTCACGTGACTGAAATTTCTTCTAAATTAATGTTTTAAATTAAGTAAATGCTTTATTTTTATTTTATTTTTATTTTTTTAATGACGAGCCTCATCACCCGAGAGAAAACTGGGATGATGTGGAAGTCCTGATGTTATTCCTTCTTGACGCATAGCGGCTACTGTAGCTGCAATACCCATTTGAAAAGGCGAGGCACCATTTGTTAGAATGGCAAATACAATTTCACGGTTAGATGGGAGAAATTTCTACAGCGTGTAGCTTTAACGATCAAAGGACACTAAACGAGCTCATCGCGAGGACGCCCCACACTCGGGTTTTTAGGGTGATGGGTGTTTTAAAATGTTTTTTTTTTTGTTTTCAAACTTTTCCTGGATCTTTTTATCCCGCCCGCAGCTCTTTCCTACCAGAAAGGTGGCCTGTAAGCGGGACGCCTCCCCCGGCTCCTTCTTCGCCCGGGACAACACGGCCAACTTCCTGGCCTGGTGTCGGCACATCGGCGTGGAGGAGACCTACCTGTTTGAGTCGGAGGGCCTCGGTAAGGAACTGCAACTGTAACCACGTCCCTTCTTTTGTGTGTGTGGGAGGGGGTTGTCATTGAAATAGTCAAATTCGGTCGATTCTTTGACCTAAAAACATGTTCTGTGAATTCCACCCAATCCTTATAGGTTTTAGAAATTATTTTATTTTCAAAATGACACAGCCACCTTTCTTTTAGCCAAGGAGAATATAGAGAACTCTGTGGCCAAACATTTTCCTACACAACCCTTGGATCATTTTTTTTTTTTTTTTTTTAAAAAGCTCTGACATGAATAAGATTTTTTTCTTTCCTGACTTGTATGTCTTTGTATTTTATATAGTCTGCCGTCCGTCTACAGAATCTTCATTGTTCACCGATACTGTTGGTTTTCGTATTGAGGATGCTAAAGAGATCTAACGGGATCTAAGCCATAAGCTGCCAATTAAACAAATCTGAGGAGCGGAGTCTTAATTAAACTCCACCTCTTAGTGTTTTAATCGGATTTGATAAGGTGCAGCATCACCCTGAGTGCTCTCTGTGTGGGATCCCTTCATTCTATTCAAACGAAGGATCTTTGGAACGCTGGACTGGGACCAGTTAGAAAGCAAACTGTTCTTTCCATGCAAACCGAATGCAAAAGATATCTGTAAGGACAATTACCACGTGGCAGCATGGTTTACCAGTTATATCTAAATTTGATTAGCAGCAATGTAAACTCGGCTAGTAATGACTATATAATTCATAGGCATGGTTTAAGATGACTTTTGAAAAACTTTTTTTAAAAATCATTTATAGATTGAAGTCTTGGATAAGTCGCCCCTTAGTTTGATGTCCAACATGGTCGAAATGTATTTTTTTGTCTCTTTTAAATTGAAGTTGTGAAATATTTGTTAAAAGTTTAATTTGTTTTTTTTTTTTGCTTGGATAAATTGCCCTCTTTTTTTTTTCTTTTTTTTTTTTGATTGAAGCTTTTTATTTTTTTTATTTATAATTTTTTTTTTTTTTTGTCTTGGTTGAATCCACCCCCCCCGTCCCTTTTTTGTATTCTTTAAATTTATTTATTTAATTTAGATTGAAGTCAGGAAATAATTGTATTTTCTTTTAATTTTGTCTTCATTGACAATGATATCTCCAATGTGGTCAAAAT